GATGACAGTGCCAACCTGCCTTCAGCGATTCAGGCTGGGTTTGTCAGCGAAGGTGAATTCTCCGTCGTCACGTTACCGACCGCCGGGCATCTAGCTGCATGCGGCCTATCTTCACATTCGGCTGGCACTCGACTTATCAATGCCAGTGTTCCTGCTCTACTTGCCTGTTTCATTGGCAATGGACCTACTGTCGTTTTGGTTATGCCGGACGCCCTCCACATATCTCAGGCAGCAATGAAGCGTAGTTTAGTTTCCTGCCTTGACTGGCTTGAAGAAACTCAACGTTTCCCAAGTGTTTTCGCTGCAGTACCCAAGTCAAAAGCCGGTAGGTCATCGTCCAGTGAGCAGTCTCTTGTGCCGGCGCTGGTTAAGACTTTTCTCTTTTTAGGCTTTGAATTGCTTCCGCCTTCCTCTACTCCTTCCGATTTGCTTGTTCTTTTGAGTGATTTTCATGTACTTCGCACAGACTTGTCTGACTATCTGGAATGAGCTTGGCGATTTTATTTCATTTCAATTAATCGAATAAATTTACATAGCTAACTGCATTCTTTTCACTTCTACCTCTACCTTCCGGACGGGAACCTGCAGGATCAAAATCCACTGATGCCCACGCTCGGCTCATTTTTTGGTGTGCCTTTCATTGAAGCCCGCCTAGATTATGGCTAGTAGTGATCCTCTCCCGGCATACTTTGTCGCTGTCTGGTTCCTCGTCTCGTGGGCGGGTATTTATTCTCAGGCAGTGATCCAGTAAGTCTGTACAAGTAATTTTGGTACCCAAACGGGCCGTGTAATGGTGCTTTTCGCGATCGATCATAGAGCTAGGCTCTATCTCAATATTCCCAACAGCAAAGCACCCGTGTAGCCCCGGCTTATTTGGCCAGGGAGTACTCCAATAATTGGATCTACGAGCTATTGATTCGCTTCATATGCTGTAGGCTATTTCAGCATCTTAGCGGATCCTGATGTCTTAAAGTCTTCCGGTGCCTGTAGCTACCTCACCTTCCGGGTCTGGTCACTTCATCTCAATTTTGGCTTTTTCATAGGCTATTTAGTATTGGAAATCTCCTAAATGTTTGGAATAATGCACACTCGCTGTGGGCATCATCTGCTTGGCTCGTGGCAATTACTTCAATAATTGGTCGTTTAACAAAAGCGGATCAACTGACTGGTCGGGCTCTTCTACTTCGATTCTGAGGATTAATTGGACCAAGCTTAAATTAGCTAGACTGGACGCCCGCCTTCATCTTCATCAGGGTGCACGTTCAGAAAGTTGACCGAATCATTTTTATTTCCCGCATTGCTGAGTTTTGCTGGTGATATTTGCTCTAACATT